CCCCCTCCCCCTCCCCGTCCAGAACAAAAAAGGGGTGTGTCCCCTACTGCTGTAACCGGGCAGGAAAGAACGTTGCGAACGTGCGCTCCCTCGCGATTGGCCCAGCCCCGCTCCTGCTTCTAGCCAGTCAACAGCAGCGGAGCCAGGGAGCCGAAGGGGGGTGAGAGCGGAGAAAGGGGTGGAGCTTCGCCCTGACCCGACTATTTAAAGGCCGGGCAAAGGGGTTGGAACTGCAGTGCCAACGAAAGGGCAAGGGAGGGGGGAGGTTCAGGGAGGCTGAGCGCCGTTGCAGGGCTGCTGCTACGGGTCAGCGCTTCAGTGGCTACCTCGGAGGTGCCTTATTCTTCTTGTTAACTCCACGGAGACCGTGAAGCCGGTAAGCATTTCTTTTTCGGGAATGGTTCCCCTCCCCTCGCAGGGCACTGATTTAGGGGTTTAAACTGGATCAAGTCACCTTTTTTGCCAGCTGTGTCTGATTGTAGCATAAGCCGCGATCCTGGCGACAGGCCTGCCTGGATTCCTCTCTCTGATGCGTATTTGCGCTCTTTTTCTCTTGCAGAGCCGTCTGTCCGGCGCTGATCCCAGCAGGGACCGTCTTCCAAGGGCTCTTTGAGCAAACGGGAGGTGGAAAGAAAACGATGCCCGTCTCGTGGGACAGCTTCTCCTCTTCGCTGCCTCCCATCCCGGAGCAGAGGGAAAACCCTCCTGCCTTTTCGTGGGAGAAGAGCGCTTACCAAGAAGAGGCCAGTCGCGCTGCGAGGCTGGAGACCTCCGATTGCGAATCCCTCGACAGCAGTTTAAGCTCCGAAGGAGGTGTGTGGGCTTAGAACCAGCGACAGAGGTGCCTGCGGGTGCCTGTGCGCGCGCACCCCCACCTGCATACTTATGCAGCTTTCCCTACCAATCTGGTGTTTCCCAGTGTTAACTGGGACTACTGTCCCCATCATCCCCCCAAGAAGGCCATAATGGCTAGGGGTGATGGGGTTACTGTGGTCCCAGCAACATTAGAGGGCCCCAGATTGGGGAAAAGCCAGCCTGTAGGGCTTGAGAAGCGATTGCAAGGCTGCTAGCCCTGGGAAGCACCCCTGTGCAGAATGCACCATGTAATGGGGAAATGGGGGGGGCACAGGTGTGAAGGCATTTCTGCAGGAAGTACCATAGAAATTAAACTATTTTTCCTTTTCCCCACTACCCTATAAATCCTTTAACTAGAAAAGGATATCTTAAGCAAAATTCTCTGCATGTTGCTATTAAAGAAAGCCCTATTTATTGAACCAGTTGGGCTTGTCAATACGTGCAGGATTAGGCTGCTAATTGTTTTTATTGAAGGCCTTGAGTTGGTGGAGGAAACAACTCTGTGTGTTTCTTTATAGTTCACATTCTGCATTAAGTGTTTGACATTTTTATCAAAGGATGAGCAAGCAATAGATTTACCATTTATTGCCTTCCTGCCGTTCTAGAGAATCTTGAGTAGGACTGCCTGGGAAGAGTTCTGTTTCTTAGCTAGAATGGGATGTATTAACTTAGAGCCCTCTGATTCCAGGAAGGGATGTGTGACCAAGCACACAGGACTCATGGGTTGCTCTTTCTGTCTGTCAATTTGCAGATGCACAAGAATATCTAGATGAAGTGTCTTTGCCTGATTTTGACTTGTTAAATGATCCAGAGGATGAACTCCTGTGTGCCAACCTCATGAAGCTAATCCAAGTCAGTCTCAACAAAGCCAAGATCAACTCCAACCGCGCCTCCCGGCTCCTTATGCCCAACCAGCTGGTCACACAAGTTGGGAAGGAACTGCTTCACTTGGCTTACCGGGAGCCCTGTGGTTTGCGGGGGGCCCTCATTGACTTGTGTGTGGAACAAGGGAAGGGATGCCACAGTGTGGGGCAGATTGCAGTGGACCCCAGCCTAGTGCCTACCTTCCAGCTGACTCTGGTTCTAAGACTGGATTCCCGCCTGTGGCCAAAAATCCAGGGACTCTTTAGCTCCGGCTCAGCTTTCTCTCCAGGCTTTAGCCAATCACTGAAGCTCAGCACTGGTTTCAGAGTGATTAAAAAGAAGCTGTACAGCTCTGAACAGTTGCTCATAGAGGAATGTTGAGGTGGATGGCCTTCTTCTTCCTGGTGGGTTTAACTGAGCATTTCCTCTAAGATGTGGTGGCCAGCACCAGACAAGATTGGGGTGAGGCTTTTACTTAAAAAGGGCTATGGAACATAAGCTGATTTTGAGAGGGGGGCGGGCTTCCCTTGGGGGGGGAGCCCACCCCCCAGGTTAGATTAGATGGATGTTTGATTTGAAGAGAATAGTGGGGCAGAGGTAGTCCAAAGAGGAGGCAGAAAGTGACGCTTGAAAAAAAAATAGCATTTTGATGCTTAGTAATTCTGACAAAAACAAAGCCCTCTGCTGACTAGGCCTGGGTACAACAGGTTAGCTTTAAAATTCAACATTTGTCTTGACTGATTTAGCAGTATTTTTTTCCCTTGACAACTGATGTGAGATAATAGTAGCAGGCCTGACACTATGGGCATATGAAGGTTGCCTCTTCTCTTTTCTCTTTTTTGTTTTCTTGTTAAGCGGTTGTTTTTTTAAAAAAAGAAAAATGTAGATAGTGGTCCGTGGATGTTTGGTAAAAGGTGAGGTGCGTGAACGATGGTTTGTAAGTGTTAAGGTCTAAAAAGGGACCAAGGGGCCATGTACCTGTTGCTGTGAAGAAGCTCTGCTACTGACACGAGGGCAGCTTAAAGGAAGGCAGCTAAATAAGGAGTTCTGCATGGGAAGAAATGGGGTGGGTTTGAATCCACCAAACACCACTGTGTAACTCCATTAGTTTGAATGAGATCAGTGTGGGAGGCACAGGGCACTCAAGTGGATTGTGCCTTGTCAATGAGTAGGATTCCTGGTGATGTATATCTCTAAGGGGAGGTGTTAGGTGATGCTTGCAAGGGGTGGGGTGGGGTCGTGGGGCAGGAACCCTCACGGCCGGTCTGTGTAGCGCTTCCATTGACTACCGTTCACATGGAATACACTTGATGTTCAGGTTTTTGAAGATTTCCTATGCAACTTGGTTTTTTACTTTTCTAATAAAAATGTTTCTAATAATGTGCTTCTGTTTGTCCTGTTCTCTGGGATCCAAGGCAATTTTCGAAGCGGGTGGTGGTAGTGCCATCGGATATGCAGGTGGTCCTGAAAACTTGGCAGTGCAATCTGCAAAGGGAAGGCTCCTTGAAACACCTCTAATGTTAGAGGGCAAAATTGCCTGCCTGCTCCACTTGATCCAGTTCTTCACCAACCAAGATGATGCATTTCAGTGAGGATGGGAAGCCAAAGTGTGTCTGGAATCCAAATGTTCTGCCTTGTACATCTGGTCCAAAAACAGCAGAGCAAGTGTGTGTCTCCCCCTAGTCTGCTCAGAAGCATGATTATCATAACCTGTGCTGGTGCTAAAATCTCAGACTCCAAGCATTTATTGGCAAAATCCACCCATCTTTCCTGGTGTACAGTTATGCCAGCCACCCTGCAAACTAGCCTGTTGAATGGCGTTGTACAGAAAAGCTGGAACCTTGTAAGGAGGGTGGCTGTGGTTAAATATCAATTGGCCTAGGCAGCAGCCTCTACTTGGAGAGGGTAATGGGAAACAATAGGTGTTCTAACTAGGTTGCTAGTTTACAATAAAAGCATTGTGGTACCTAACAAGCAGGCTCTTGCTCAGCTGCAGGGCAGCAGAATATACAAGGAAGTGGAACATAAGCCTTTGCAGGATGGGGCCAGTGTTGAGATATGCCCCAATTAAAGAGGTTCAGTTTAGGAAGGTGGGCAGCATGTGTTTGTTTTTGATAACTGAATAGTATTGATTTTAGGACTGAAGAGATTGCATTTTCTCACAGTTCTACAAAACTCTGATGGAGCCCAACCTTAGATGTGCAATCCAAATTAAGGGTCAGTTTCCACCTTACCTAGCACTTCCCCCTGGAGAAAGCAGCACATGTACTTTAAAGAGGGACTATGCCTGCCATTGTTTAACCTCCTCTCCTAAACAGGACCGCTTTGGTCCTATGACCTCACCTCTTGAACTTGCATCTGTGAGCTCTCATTTAGCTGAAGCAAAATAGCAAGAGAGTGGTTTTTAGGAAAGGAGACAGAGGCTCCTTTTTCCCCCCCTGAATTCATACTTGACTTTTCTATGAGAAATGAGACTGAAGATGACTAGCAGCAGCAGCATTCAATTAAAAACAAATGTTATTAAAGCATCAGGTTATCAAGATGATAAGCACAGAAACATGAAGCAGCAAAAGTCCGTCTTCAAATATAATACAGCACGGTTGCCTGAATAAATAGATCTTTGCCTGGCAGTGGAAGGACAAGAGGGAAAGGGCCAGCTAAGCCTCCTTTGGCAGGGAGTTCCCCAGGCTGGGAGCAGCCACCCAGAAGTCCCTGACTTTGAGTCTGTCAATTTTGCAAGTATGCCAATGTGAACTCTTTCCTAACTGCTGAAACCAACTGTGTCATATCTTAATTGCATTTGTTCCGGGGGGGGGTGTTATTCTCAGCCAAGGGTGGAGAATAGGTGGTCTTCTAAGTATTGAGAAACTGCAGGCCTCATCAGCCCAGGCCAATGTAGCTACCAGCAAAATATTATGAGAACTGAACCTCTGGGAACTGCACATTCTCTGTCTTTGAGATAAGATGATGGCACACTACCCACAGCAATGATTGTGAAAGTTAACAGAGTTGTTATAGTACACGCTTTTTAAAAAAAGATAGAAGTCTCACGTGGGAACCTGTACCCATGTAGATTTTGGTGGAGTAAGTGCAGATTTACATACAAACTGTGAAAATCTACAGTTTGGAGCCTCAGATTAAAAGGGGTCTATTACATACAAAGAACTACTGAAGTTCAAGTTTCACATAACCATCTGAATCATAAACTTGCGGGGGGCAATGCTATGGAGTATCTCTTCCTCTGATCCTGGCTGGACTACAGATTCCATCATTCTTTTCTATTGGCAAGGCCAACTCAAGACTGATGGGAAATGGACTACAGCAATATTTGGAAGGCCTCATGTCCGCCCCCCTCCCAGCTTTGGCTTACTTGATGTAATATATAACCTATATTGTGAAGACAAGGGCAAGACTGAGTGTACGTGTGTTGGAATTCTTTTACATTGTGATATTAATGTTATGTATAAAATTTATAGAAAAAGAAAGAGAGACACACATATAAAGTTATAATGTTACATGGTGATTCTATACGTGGTACAAACATTTTTTTAAAACAAACTTTGTGGAAATACCCAACAAAGAGAATGGATCACACACTGTGCACTCAGCTGTACAATGCTGACAACGAATGTTTGACTTCAGCTCAGTGTCAGCATGTTGGTGGAAGGGGTAACTGGTTTCAGTTTCTAATGAGCATTTGCAGAAGTAGCATCTGGTGCCTGCTAGAGAAGCACATTTTGCCAGGATTGTATTCCCACTGAATTGAAGAGCATGTGAGGGAAGACTAAGAGCTCTCTTTTTTAAAAAAACATGTTCATGGGAGTGCATCATGACACAACTGCAAAAGGCAAACAACAACAACAACCCACCACCCTCCTTTTTATAACAGTATACAAACTTGTTCCAAAAAAAAAAAACTAGGTAAAGATTTATTGAGATACTACTTAATGTACTTCAGGTAAGTACAGGTAAATTATTTATTTATTTCATTCTTAGATCACCCATCCAGCCAAGGCCACTCTGGGAGGTTTACAACATATAAATACCACCAAGTACCATTTAACATAACAAAAAATAGAAATAATAAAATATAAATAAACTATAAAAATACATCAAAATAAAACATTTTAAAACATTCAAAGCATTTTAAACATTTCAGATGGCAGACACTGGACAGATAGGCTCATAATACACAGGTGAGCTTGCAGGTGTGATGTTTTCGAATGCCTGCCTAAATAGCCAGGTTTTCAGTGACTTTTTGAATATCTCCAGCAAAGGGGGCCAAGCGAATTGCAGGGGGAGCTCACAACCCAGGGAAGAGTCACACATTCAAGGAAAGAATGGAAATAATTTGCAACAGGGATGCAGCCCACAATCTTTACCAGAATGCTACTGACATTTGACAGAGTTGAATTTTGGGTGTCTGTTACCATCAAACCAGGAAAAATCTCCACTGAGATCATTTCACAACTTGGTGAGGCTGGCCTCGTCATGAGGCGGCTGAAGGTCTGCAGTGAGGAGAGTGCCAGCCTAAGCATCAGTCTTGCCAACCTGCTGTTTCTGCCACGTGCTTGAGGAGGAGACTGTGGAGCACCAAGCCTAGCAGTGGCCAGTGCGAGCTCTCTTTGTGGCTAGCTTCCCTTCTGATTTTCTGATGGGAACACAGTCATAAAAGGGGGTGTGATGGTAAATTTGGAACAGCAAGTTCCCATCACGGTAGTTCTTGTGGCTATGCTGAATGAGAGTTCAAACGTGAAAATAACTATGTTGATCTGTTACCAAATGAGCTTTAGCTGTTTTTATTTCCACCATGAACAGGTCTTTTGTAGATTTAATGGATCTTAAGGAATAGGCCACCTCAAAATATTTTGCATTCAGGGAAAGCTCCCAACAATATATGATTGCTGGGAAAATGCATTTCCCCGCAGCAATAGCTGGATTATGACTGGGGCATGGGAGGACACACCCCCAATTCTAGAATTATTTGCCCTTCCCCTTCTGTTGCTGAGCCACCTGTAACTCATCCCACCCTCACCTCAACTCATGGCAAGAACTGTAGCTCAGTTCAAAGGGAACAGGGTGAAGTGCTTTGACCATTTAAAGCCTATTCATCTGTCTGCAGAATGAACTGGGGTGAGAGGGGGTGGGCAAATAAAACAGGTGGAATCGGATATGGTTTTTTTCCCCTCCAGGCAGGCAAGCCTGATTCTTCTGCATCACATGCTGCTTCCTGTCCACTAAAATGATGGTCTTGTTTCATCCATTTTGCTTCTCCTTCAGTTATCAGGTGGGCTGTCAGCTGTGAGTGAGAAAATTACAGTATGAATGCTGATTGATTTGAATATGAATATTAATGTATAGATATTTTATTTTAGAACATTTTGAATATGAATTTCAATATGAATATTAATGTATAGATATTTTATTTTTGAAAAATTAGGGCCTTTGAATCCATTTCAAATCATTGTGAAACAACCCTTGCTTTGGAGATGGTGACATTTCAAACACCAGCTTCTTCATTAACTGGAAAAATGGGAGTATCAGAGGAATCCATTAGAAAGGGCCCACAGTGGCATTGTGATCAGCTATACCAATTCTTGGTTTAAATCTGACACCAATAGAGAGCGAATCAACAAATCTTACAGAATTGTTGGCTCACTATTGATTCAATAGGTGTACTCTAGGTGGGACTAAGCAATTGGGTTAGGCCTTTGGAAAGTCAAAAATTACAAATAATGTAGCCAGTAACAGGGCGAGTTGGGGCCAGTTGAATAAGGATGCAACAAACAGAATTAAATTTGAAAAGTAACAAAGTAACATAGCAGTTAGAGGTACATACTGTATAGGCTATATGCTGTTCAACAATTAACCTAGATTTGTGAAAGAATATTAAAGTTGTTATCCAGGTATCATCTTCTCTTACACTCCCCTGCTGTCTTTTCTCTCTCTTGAGTATTGGCTTTTTCTGTTCTAATATATCTGCATGTGTGGCAGAATTATATTTTACAGGGTGGTTCCAACTTGCAGTAATACATATAGGGGAACATATAGACTACACACTCACTGCTGAGGGTGAGGAGTGAGGGAGATTGGGTGGATTGAGAATATCTGGTATTCTTTTAATAATTATATGCCATCAAGTTGTTTCTGACTTATGGTGACCTTTTTCAGGGTTTTCAAGGTTGAAAATATGCAGAAGTGGTTTACTTTTCCTTTCTTCTGGGTGTTGCGTGGGACTGTGCAGCTTACCCAAGGTCACACAGGCTGGCATTACTTGCAGGAGCCAGAGCGGGGAATCAAACTCCCAGCTGAAACCACTGAGCTATCCAGCCAGCTCTGCTAATGTGCCATCAGGTGAATCATAACTTATGGTGACCCTTTTCA